TACTTTTGCTTCCGTCTAACACCCGGATGAGCAATGCGCGTGACGGCGCGATGCCGCTCGTGTGAACTTAAGCACATCGCCACCACTTCACCTCAATATGAAACATGTTCAGAGGTGGAGTTGTCGGTCATGCGGCGGTCAAAGATCTCAGACACCGGACTCCTTTGGCGGACGCAATCACATCCGAGTTTTTCTTTCCATCACAGCAGGTCTTCTAGCTACATTGAACCCTTTTGTTTCAGGATTCCCTCTAATTCCATGAACTCCTATCAACTCGTTTTAACCTAGTTTATAAGCATAACAAGGATCACTCCCACAAAAGAGTAAGAAATCTATGACCAATCTAATAGGAATCTAATCATCTAACCTTTAATGGAATGCAACGAAAAATCTATCCAAATTGAAAACCCACTTCTTCCTCTCTTCGCTTGGCCTCCTTTCGCTCTTCCTCTTCACGACGTTTAGCCTCCTTCCTCTCCTCTTCTTCACGTTTCTTCTGCGCTAGCTCTTCCTTTTTTCGTTGCTTTTCCTCTTCCTCTTTTCGCTTACGCTCTTTTCGTTCCTCCTCTTCTCTTCTTTTCTCCTCCTTTTTACGCTCCTCCTCTTTTCGTTTCTCTTCCTTCTTTCGCTCCTCCTCTTTTCGCTTTTCTTCTCTTTCCCTAGAATTATAACAACACCACTGATTGGCTGTAGCACCACTGATTCTATTGACTGTACCTTTCTTTCCTTTCCTTTTCCAATCGCTTCTCTTCAGCGATTCTTTCTTTCTCAGCCTGAAAAGAGCAAAAAGTAAGAATAAGCCAAACACAGTGGAAATGCACTCATACCTTTGCTCGTTCTCTTTCCTCTTCTTTTAACTTCTTCTGAAGAGCCTTACGTGCCCGCTCTGCCTCTCGTTCCTCTTTCGAAATTCTCGGTGTACCCTTTCTCGACGAACTTGCTGCACTTCTTGGACGCGATGCCGTTGAAGGCGTAATACGTCCCGAACCTTCCGATGGACTTTCCTCCTCCTCGTCTAACGTTATCACATCTTCATCTACCTGCAAATTACACCACTATTTCAATGTCAGTTGCAGCATACAAGATATTACCACATAGGTTCATCATTTAGGAAAGATACCAGAAAATTGAAATCAATGTGGGTCTCTAGAACCGTCCATATAACGTAGGCCTCAAACCCCATTTCGTTTCTTATAATCCAGAACATCTTTACAAAGTTTCAGGAGGCAACCCCTGTGAGATAGCCCCTGTGAATTAGACAGTTTTTCTCAAAGGCCTGGATGTCCAAAAAAAAAGTGCTGCGCATATTCTGCATTTTGGCTTTCCAAATGGAGAAATTTCGCAGAAAAGTAGAGTAAGCTTCAAGAATAAAAACCTAAACATTCGTCGAATACCGTTGCCTAAAAGAACTGCTCGTTATTAGAATCGCAAAAAGGGAATGATGTTTA